TTCTGTATGTCCAGTGTGAGTCAGCAGGGGGCTCTGCTCATTGTGGTTACTTAAGAGACCCAAGCTGATGGAGGCTCCATCTCAACACCTGCTACATGATCACTGTGTTTGGAAGAAGATGGGGCATATATTGTTCTGGCTCTTGAGATACCTGTCCAGAAATAACACACATTGCTTCCACTCGCATTTCATTGGCCAAAGCAAATCACATACCCATGCGTAACTTTAGAGGGGGAAGAAAAGTGAAATCTCCCATGAGTCTAGAAAAAATACTAGATTATTTTTTAATTATCCTAATGACAGGTCCAGGACCCACTTGTTATGGCCCATTTGCTTGTCACCCCAATCAGGGCCCACTCCAGTACTCCAGTCCCTCTGTTACTCCTTGTTCTTGGAAGAAACTTCCATTCCTTCACCTGTATTCACTCATCCCACATTTGCTCTACAACCTGGTTCCTGCTCTCTGCGTTGCCCCTCAGATGAACTCCCTGTTATATGATCTCTACTTTTGCCTCTGATTCTGGTCTCTGACTTCTGGCTTCAGGCCACATAAACAGAAAGAGGTGCTCTGCCCACAGACTCTGCTTGGAACCTACCAAAGCCAGATTAGTCCTTGCCTGGCCCCTTTCTGACAAGGGAGGTTTAGACACTCAGAGTCCCAGACTTGCAGCTGGAGGACAAATACCAAAGCTGTGTCCAAGGAAGGGTGCCAATGCTGAGGAACTCAGCCAAATCTAGTCATCATGCAAGGAGCCAGAAGCAAGTAACAAGATCCTGAGACAAGGTCAGGGAGCTGGGGAACATGAAATTAAAGACCAGCAGGGAGGATGCTGCAAATAGAAACTCTGTAAACAGGGTCCCATATTCACATTTTAGGGTTTTCTAATTAAATGTCTTTAATCAAAGAGATGCCTATACATGTTTTACAAAATCAATTGGTTTTACCAGGCTTTTTTTTTTTTTAAACCAGGCTTTTAACAAAAATCACCAGTCCCCTTCTCTGCTATTGAGGAAATCTTTTCCAACATTTTTACCTATTTCTTTTGATATGTATATATCCTCATTTATTAATAACTTGGTTATATATTTATTCTTGAAATTTTTTTAGTTTTAGACTATCTATTTAGTCTATCACCTTTCTGCTGTGAAATATGGAGAATGAGCTCTCTCATGCTGCTCACTACATACTTTCCTCCTCCCTATCCTCCCAGTGTTGTTATATCCCAAATTTTGTTAACTCCATATTCAGTGTTAACATGATTATGACTATGTAAATATTGTCATAGAGGCAGCAGAGCATAGTGATTAGGAGTAAGAACTCTGGAGATAGATTACCTGGATTTGAATCCTGTCTCCATCCCTAGATGTGTGTGATAGGCTGAATAATGTCTCCTCAAAGATGTCCATGCCCTAATCCCAAGAACCTACAAATATATTATCTTACATGGTAAAAGGGATTTTGTAGATATGATTAAGTTAAGGATTTTGAGATGGAGAGATTATCCTGGGTTACCAGATGGGCCCAATGTAAACACCAGGATCCTATTAAGAGGAAGGCAGAAGAATCAGAGTAGGAGAGAGAAGATGTAAGCATGCGAGCAGAAATCAGAGGGAGAGAAGATGCTATGCTGCCAGCTTTGAAAGTGGAGGAAGGGACCACAAGCCATGGAATGTAGGTGGCTTCTAGATTTTTTCCCTGTTTTTTAACTAGCCACTTGGTCATCCAGACCTTGCACTATCAGAAATACTCTAGGACACTATCAACAGAGAAAAAAGGAAACACACAGAATGGAAGAAAATATTTGCAAATCATATATCTGATAAGGGAATAATATCCAGAATAAATACAGAACTCCTAAAACTAAAAAACAAAAAAACAACCTGATTTAAAAATGTGCAGAAGACTTGTATAGACCTTTCTCAAAGGAGATATACAAATGTCCAATAAGCACATGAAAAGATGCTCAGCATCACTAATAGTTAGGCCAATGAAAACCCAAACCACAATGAGATACAACTTCACACTCCTTAGATTAGCTATTATTTAAAAAAACACAGAAAATAACAAGTGCTGGCAAGGATATGGAGAAATTGGAAAGCTTGTGCACTGTTGGTGGGAATATAAAATGGTACAGCTGCTGTGGAAAACGGTATGGTGGTTCCTCAAAAAATTAAACATAGAATTACCATATGGTCCAGCAATTCTCCTTGTGGGTATATACCCAAAAGAATTGAAAGCAGGGACTTGAACCAATATTTGTATGCCAATGTTCATAGCAGCATTATTCACAGTAGTCAAACTCCATTACAGATGAATGGGTAAACAAAAGGTGGCGTATACATACAATGGAACATTATTCAGCTTTAAAAGAGAATGAAATTCTGATACATGCTACAATATGAATGAACCTTGAAGACATTATACCTAGGGAAATAAGTCAGACATGAAAGGACAAGTATTGTATGATTTTGCTTATATGAGATACCTATAGTAGTCAAATTCATAGAGACAGAAGTAGAATGGAGATTTCCAGGGGATGGGGGAGTGGTGGATAGGGAGTTATTGTTTAATGGGTACAGAATTTTAGTTTGGGATGATTAAAACATTCTGGAGATGGATAGTGGTGATGGTTGCACAACAATGTGAATGTACTAATGAACTATAATGAACTGTATACTTAAAAATGGTAAAAATAGTAAAATTTATGTTATGTGTATTTTACCACAATAAAAATAAAAGAGATACTCTTCAAGGATGAAGATTTATCACCATGACACCAATGGGATGTGGGGAAGGATTGGTAGACTCCCCCTGTCTCTCTCTCTCAAACTGACACCATTCCCTCTAACTTCATGACTGGTGATTGTCTCCTATCTGTCCATTTGAACTCCTCTTTATTCTGCATATCACCACCACACTGCTACCTCCCTTCTTCATTGTCTTTTGGCTTCCATAGTTTCTGATGAGAAGTCTGCTGTAATTCTTCCCCCCCACCCCCGTATGTAACATACCTTTTCTCTCTGTCTGCTTTTAAAATTTTCTCTTTTTCATTGGTGATATCCAGTCATGAAGTTATAAGAGACAATTTCAGTGGGAGGGAGGGAAACAACAAGAGCCCACCAACCCTTCCCTATATCCCATTGCTATCTTGATAATAAATCATCCTTGAAAAGTATTTCTGATTGTGTAAGGACATAAAGTGGATCTAAAGATCTTATTTTTCAAAGCTATGACATCACGTAAGCCCCTCTCTCATCATGCACCTGAAGGCCACCTTAGGAAAAGAAGCAGTGGAGGGTATGGGGAAGTTATCTTGGAGACAGATTTTTTTTTCTTTCTTTTTTATATATATATATATATTTTTTTTTTAATTGTGGTAACACTGGATTATAACATTGTACACTTTTCGGGTATACATCATTATATTTCGATTTCTGTGTAGATTACATCATATTCACCACCCAAAGACTAATTACCATCAATCACCATACACATGTGCCTAATCACCCCTTTTGCCCTCCTCCCTCCCCACTTCCCCTCTGGTAACCACCAATCCAATCTGAGAGAGTTTTTTCCAAAAAGAGATAAGTATTTCCTGTAGGATCCATTTAAATTATTTAATCAGATAAAGCTTAAAACTGGAGTAGGCATCTTAAAATGATCTATACCTAATAACATAAGTTGCAAATACATGAAGCAATGTGACTAGTGATCTTGGTGTTGTGCAATGTAGCGGCCCTGTTTTCCAGCCTCCTTCCCACTCTTCACTTCACATTATTCATGTTTCTGTTCAATGCTCCTTCCAGCTCTTATCTAACCATTCTACCTAAAACAGCCATTCCCTCAACCGTTCCTTAACCTTGCTTTATTTTTCTTTGTGGCACTTAATCACAACATGACATTTTATTATTTATGGGTTACTTATTTATTGTTAGTCTCCTCCACTAGAGAATAAGCACCATGGGTGCATCTTCATTGTCTTGTTCATATTATATACCCAGAGCCTAGATCAGAGCCTGGAACATCATTGCATATGCTCAATAATACTTGTTGAATGAATGAATTTATGTCTTTATTATATTATTTGTATTATGTATATTTTTAACACATTTATTTAACTACTATGTTATTTAATCTGACTTTAACTGTCTTTTTCATTTTTATCATTTATCCACTCATTGTGCAATCATTTACTAAGCTTCTACTTTATGTTATGTATATAGTTAGCGTGAGAGGTGGGGAGAGACAAAGATGTATAAAGTAAGACTTCCATTAAGAAATCCCCACTTCTGAAGGATAAAATTCAAAGTCCTTAGCAAGCAAAGATTGGAAATCCAAGGGGAAAATAAGGTTTTATTTTTTTTTAAAGCACTCAAGAAGTTAGGTTTGTTTTTAGAAATGTGGAAGAGTCCCTCTGCTTCCTTCCAGCTCCTCTAAGGAGCCCAGCTCCCCTGTTTTCCGCAATGGAGCGCAGCACCAACTCTTAGCCAGCCTTGCTCGAAGCTCCTCCCTTTATAATTGACAGCTGGGGAAAGACCACGGAGGCCCGCCCCCACGCCCCTCCTTGCTGGACTGAGTGGCGCAACCAAGTGGGAGGGGCTGCTGGTTCAGCCAATGGAAGGAAGCAGGAGCAAGAGCCCGTGTAAACAAACCCAGAGATGCTGCGCCTTGGGCTCCTCCCCCACGTGGGGGGCTGGACGCGTCCCTGGCCCAATGTCTGTCCAGGACTAGCGTAGTGTTCTTTCAGCCAATGAGAGCCAGTGTCTCCCGCAAGGAGGCGCTCCACCCGGAGGGAAAGAACGAAGGGAGCGAAAAGACAGATGTTATTACGAATCAGAAGCTGGAACTTCTGAAGGAGTGGGCGGGAACTGCTTCACATTTAGACCAATAAGCACTACACATGCCCTTCTAGGTAACTGAGCGGCATCCTCTTTGGTCCAATAAACGAGTGGGGCGGTGCCCAGCAACCAATGGCTTGGGTTCGGGGGCGGGGTGAGGAGCCAGTGTGCGGTAAGAGGTAACCTGGCGAGTGGTAGCGCCGCTTCTCCCGTGCTGTGGCTCATGCTTTGGTACTAGAGGCCGAGGCTATTCTGGCGACGGCAACCTCTGCGGCGACGGCTGAGGCTCTCGGAGAAGTGGCGGAGTACGGTCTGGAGGAAGGGCTTGTGGTCAGCCCAGGTGGGCTCGGGCTCCTGGGCTGCCGGGGAGGGGCCCCGCGGGAAGTCTCGCTCTCCCGGCTCTGGGGGCGCCCTACGCCTCCCTTTCTGCCGCCGTCGGGGCTGTGAGGGGCGGCGCGCGCCTGACTGAGGCTCCTGTGGGGAGCGTGAGCCGGCGGCTCCCACGTCGCGGCGGTCGGCGAGAAGGGGTGTCCGCTGGGGTTAACCTCTGCCCCTCGGGGGCGCTAGGGGGTCTTAGTCCCTTTCTCCCCGCACAGGCGCGCTGTTCCTTCCCCGCCCCCCAACTTTCCTGAGCCCCTTCAGCCCACTTCTAACGCTCGGACTGAAATCTCTGGCTTGCGAGTTCCCCTGCTACTCCAGTGCAACACTGCTAGGCAAATGGACCAGTGCTGCATCCCCGGGTCCCCTTCCCGGGGCGGGCAGGGAGAGGAGTTGCGCATTTTCGCCCCTCCCCCATTCTCGGGACCACCCCCCCCTCCCCGGGCGTTCTCTGCGTTTCTTCTACTCTTTCCACCTCCCGCTTTACTCCAGACCTCGTTCTTAGTACCTAATTTGAGTTAGGGACCTTGGCCACTTGCCTTCTTCCTTTCTTTTCCCGAGTGAGCCCTTTACCCTCTCCCACTCCTTAAATTTCATTCTCATCTCTCACGGAAACTAACATTTTCCGCTTGCCCCTTCCAGGCAGCTGGAAGGTGAACGCAAGAGAGGCGGAATACACTGTACAGGGAGATTTACAAGGTTGGGAACTTTAATCGGTTTTGTCAGTGGTAAACCATTCTTGTCTTCCTTAAAATGGCATTTGATCAGTGTATCCTCTCTAGAATCTTTGTCCCAGGACGATTGTTTTGGTGATAATTTCTGAAAAGGCAAGTGAGAAGAGTTTACTGGCAGCAAGAAATTAAAAATGTATTATTATTTTTTTTTGAGTAGATAGAGTTGGATTATACTTTAAACAGCTTAACTGGTGTGGCAGAGAGTTTGCAGTGTAAGTAAGGGCCTGAGGAGGCTAGTTTGTCATAAAATATAGGACATACTTTAGCTGTATGGCACAGTGTGATTTGATCACACCCAGCCTATGGATAATATAGTATTGAATATGTTTTAAAACAACATTCTTTATTCCCCTTTCACGGAGAATTTGTATTCACCTTCATAGTGTATCGATTTGGTTTCAATAGTGTTGGTTCTAGCCATATGTTTCTAGATATAGTGCAGACTATGTTGTGCCTAAATAAAATTATGCCACGAATTTTATAGGGAAAAAGTAACTCACCACATTTAGTTTTGATTGAGACTTTAGAGTTTTGAAAATATTAATTGAGATATTGACAGTGAGGGTTTTGTTTTGGGGGATGGAGGAAATTGAAGTATTGGGATAAGCCTGATGGGCCCCTTAGGCTGTGTATGTATGAAAGAGAGAGCGTGCAGGAGAGAAAATACACGTGTACAAAACGTAGTAGATTCTAACAGTGTGTAGTTTCATGACTTTACATAAATTGGAATGGTTTTTCCTGGTCCTCAGTGGTGAAATGTAAGCAGTGAGTTTAACATCATGTCCACTGTATTTTGCCAGAGTTTTGCAAACTTTTGTGAAAAATTCTTAGTTTTTCTTATTCTGTTCGTAACATATATATCAGTATGCTTCCTTGTATTTTACTATATGGTAAGACTGTATCTTCTATATAGAGAAATAAGTCTAGTAGAGTGAATTAAAAGGAATCTTTACTCTGAGGAGGCAGCATTGTCTAATGGACCATATGTTTGAGCCCTGTTAGTAAATCACACTAAAAAGAGGAAGATCTTAAAGCTATTCTGACAAATGCCCACGTTTCTAGAACAATAAGCAGAATTTATGACAGAATTATTAGCAGTCATTAAAGAAAAGTCCTGGACAAATTGCAAGTCTGTGAGTTGGTCACTATTGTGAATTGGTATAAGGTTGCAGTTGAAAACCAAAGTTAGTTTTGTAGTCTTTTCAGGTTTTTTTTTCTTTAGTAATTACTAATTTGCACATTTAAAGACTATAGTTGTGATTTCTTCCTAGAGACCTTGCCTTTAAGGAGTTTGTTTTTGCTGAGGAAGATTCGCCCTGAGCTAACATTTGTTGCTGTTCTTCCTCTTTTTGTTGAGGAAGATTCACCCTTAGCTAACATCTGTTGCCAGTCGTCTTCTATTTTGTATGTGAGCTGCCGTCACAGCATGGCTGCTGACAGAGGAGTAGTGTAGGTCCGTGCCTGGGAACTAAACCCAGGCCACCGAAGTAGTGTGTGCCGAACTTAACCACTAGGTCACCAGGGCTGGCCCAGGAGTTCATAGTTTAATGGAAGAGAGACGTGTAAACCAAGAAAAATGCAGAGGGAGAGGTTGTGCAGTATAGGGTGTGTACAGGGCACAGAGAAGCACTGTGGCCCTGTGTCAGAACCTCTTCTCATCTCCTACTGCTCTGGACTTTCCAAAGGGCCATTTCCTGAACCTGCCTGTTTATTTCACACACCTGGGCCTCTTTCTGGAGGCTCTGCTGTTTCTCCTTTTCCACATCATATGTGCCTGGGGAGGTCCTGTTTCAAAATCTTCTTGAAGCCTGCCGCTGGCCTCCACTCCATCCAAATAATTATGTTCTATATCTTTCTGTTGTTTTGTTATAAATAATTACAGTTGATTCTCATTAGTCACAGTAATTGTGGTCTATAAAGTCACCTAGAACACTAAATTAGCAAATACTGAACCATTGCGGGGAAAATATGTACATACATAAATATCTCACATTGATTATAATCTTAAATCCTAAATACAACTCACCCTGACAGATTCTATTGTCTTTATTTTACAAAAGAGAAAATGAGGTTCAGAAGTGTCACATGACTTGCCTGAGGCTGCCCCCTTAACTGGTGCCAGAATTAGGATTCAAACCCTGTCCTACTGGTCCCGGAGCCAGAGCTTCTTGCTCTGCACTGCACTGCCCCCTGCCGTCAGTGTCCTTTAGTCATCTCTGAGAGCTGAAACAAGAAGGCAGAGTGTTGTCTTGTTCGACCTTAGCTGGGAACATGCCCAAGGGGTGATTCAAAATTTATGCCACTCTGTGCATGCCCATGAATGACTGTGAAAGCACCATGAGTATTGATTTTTGGAGTTACAAATTTTAGCAAGTAGGTGAATTTGCAAGTATGGGATCCACAAGAGGTGAGGGTCACCTGTACTTGTAAATGACCCTTGGGGTCTGTTTCATGGTAACCCTCCCCTAAACCACTGTAAAATGTTCCCTTAGCTTCTGTGAGAATTCGTTCACGTATTCATTTATTCAACAAATATTTATTAAGCACTTACTATAAGCCAGGCTCTGTTTTAGACTGTGATGAACAAACTAGAGATTAAGCTTCTGCCCTTATAGATGTTATATTTGAGTAAGAGGGACAGACATTCTGGAGCTGAGGGGAGAGGTCCAGGTTGGAATTATAGATTAACTTGATGAAGGTGAAACCCAGTGTCCCCCCCCACCACCACCACTTCACATCCTCTACCATACTGACTTCCAGAACATTTGTTCTCTTGTGCATAAACTCTTCCTTTTGAGCCTTGCTCCATTGACCTGTGTCAGCCTCTACTTGCCATTAGTTGATTTTGAGGCCATTTACCCATATAACTGACAAGATATTCTAGAAGAATCAGGCTGACCTGGTCTTTGATTTCTGGCTTTGCCACCTACCAACTGAGTGAGTTTGGTCAAGCTGTCGAAGCTTTTAAGCCTGATTCCTAATTTCAAAAGTGGTGATATGATTTGTTAGGCCCTTGTAAGTTACAAGGAAGAGGCACACACATATTACCTTCAATGATGAGAGTTTAATGTAAACTTGAATGGGAAATCATCTCAGCAGCCATATTGTCCCTTGGCCCTAGTGTTTTCAAAACTTTATAGAACAATAACTTAGCAGTATTTAGAATAGGATTTGAACTCTGGAGACCTGCCTTCTTTTACTTTGTTCACCAACATTTGTATTTCCCAAGAGAAATCATCTGATTGGATAGGTTTGTCCCCTTCTAAAACGGAGGACCCTTATTGTGCAGAATTTTGAGCCAAGCCATGTCCTAGGTGATCTCCCTCAAGTTCAACCTACAGATTGTCTTTAGTTAGGGCTCTGAGTCCTGGTCCAGTCGTTTGTGGCCAAAGAAGTAGGGTTGGTTTCATGCGTTGTCTGTCCCACAGACTGCAGCATATACAAAAAGAATCCCTTGGAGACAGTTTCTTCAGAAGACAACTGAGGGTATGGAAATCCTTAGAGTTTCATGGACTTCTGTCTAATTCAAATATCTATCTAACATGATCATAGGTAATGTTTAATAAAGCACCTAACAAAGTAATTGACACATGTCACAACATTTCCATAAATCTTCCTTTTGGTGTTGCATTTAATATGATTATAGTGTGGTTATTTGTTCATGTGGCTGCTTCCTTACTAGACTATGAGCTCCATGAGGGCAGGGTCCACATCTTCATCCTTCTATCCTTGGCACTTAGTTCAGTGCCTGATAATATAGTAATAGATGCACAAATGTATAACTTGAGGACTTCCTAACTCCTCCTGAAAGGATGGGAGGATGTGAAGGCTTCCCAGAGAAGGCATTGTTTAAGCTGGTTCTTAAAGGATGAGTAGTCATATTTTCTGGATGAATAAAACCTTGAGACAGCATTCCAAGCAGGGATCAGCAGGTGCAAAGGCACAGAGATCTAAAAAGATAATGAAGTTTACTGGACACTCCTGGTAGATTAAAAAAATCAAAGAAAAAGCAAACAAACAAAAATCACCTAAGTAAAAACTATGAATGGATTTGGCCAAAGGGCATGTCACAACTGAGTTAACCATGACAATAGCTGCTCAGTTATGGATGCAAGTTTTAGAGAGAAAGCATAACATTCTCAAGTTGTTGGTAGGGTATCCATCAGTTTAGAAATACAGGTATTGAATTCTGGGAACTATCACACTGTAGTGAAATTATTTACTTCTT